TTCAGGATTTTGTGTGTGCCATGTGAGAATGAGAGTGTGCATTTGACAGGAATTCCTTGATTCAAGGGGTGCTTGGTGTGAGTAAGAATTTAAAGAGTCTTAGTAAATGGTGATTGGGTACTTTTTCCAAAAAAAGGGGGGGGAGAAAAGTGTAACTTTTGGGGTAAAAAAAAGAAAAAAAAATACAAATGAACAAGAGAGGGATGGTCTTGCTAAGAGCACTCCCATTATTTAAAGAGACAGTAACTGCAGCCTCTTCTCTGGGTTTGGTCTGGCCAACTGAATTCAGAGGAATTTGTGCTGGAAAATTTGGATTTCTTGACTCTGTGGGCTTGGCTATTCCACAGAGCCAAGAAAAAGGGGGGATGCTCTGTCAAGAAGATATCACCAGTTTGTGAGTACTGCAGAAGCAGCACACACAAAGCCTCTGAGCACGTGCAGAGTTCAAAGCACTTTGGGAGGTTGGAGCAGCTCTATTTTCAGCCACAGATTGAGGGTGGGCTTTCATTAGTTCTCAAAAGAAATCTTGATGTCTAAATATATATAAAAGAGGTTCTATAACTGAGGCAAGGCATTTGAGGTTCTTTGAGTGTTCAAAGCTTGAATTGCCTCAGAGAAAAAATTCTGCCTGGGAAGGCGTGGGTTAAAACAAAGCCGCTTAATCATCCACAATGAGGAGGAGCTAGGGGAAGTTCTTTTAAGGAAGAAAAAAATGTTTTTATGAACACAAGCACTTGTGTTCATCTAAGTGCTCAAGCATTGATTATTTGTTGAAATGTATGTGAGTTCAGGTTTGTTTGTACTCACTATGGTTTGGTGCATTTTGTATCTATGTATGTGTCTGCACTGGACAAGTGTGGGGAGAGGATCAGGGCTCTGGGAGCAGAGTTTTAGAGGCACTGCAGGGACTGACAGGACTCCTACAGAGAGGGGCCGGTATCAGGGAAGATGGGAGAAAGGAGGCGGCTGGGGACTCCAAAGAAAGGAAGCAGTGGGAAGGAGTTGAGGTGCATGTACACTAATGCTAGGAGCAATAAGCAGGAAGAGCTTGAAGCTCTCCTGGGAATAGGAAGGTATGACCTGGTGGGAATCACAGAAACTTGGTGGGATGAAAGGCAAGACTGGAATGTGAACATAGAGGGGTATCCTCTTTTTAGAAAGGACAGGAAGAGAAAGACTAATAGAGAGGAGCTGATAGATGGAGTACAGATTAGGGGAGCTCTGGATGCGAGTCATGACTCCATCCTTTGCTTTGAGATCAGGGGACTGGGGACGTGCAGCAGGTCAAGCACTAGAAGCTGGGACTTCAAGAGGGCGAACTTTGGCCAACTGAAGGCCAAAGTCTCCTGGGATAGGTTACTGGAAGGTAAGCGAGTTGAAGAGGGGTGGATGGCACTGAAAAGGGAGGTTCTGGAGGCGCAAGCCTTGACGATACCTCTAGTGAGTAAGGTGGGGAGGTGGAGGAGAGCGCCACCATGGATGCGAAAGGAGGTGGTTAGAGGGATTAGATGAAAGAGGAACCTCCATAGGAAATGAGTACTGGGGCAAATAGACAAAAGGGTAGCAAAAGGGACATGGGGAATTACAGACCAGTTAGCCTTACGTCCATTGTAGAAAAAACAATGGAAAGGCTCATAATAGGGAGAGATCTAGTGATGCTAGGTAGGGAAGGGAGGCTGGCGACCACACAACACGGTTTCCGCAAAAACAGGTCCTGCCAGACAAACCTTGTGGAATTCTGTGACAAGGTTTCAAGATGGCTAGATGGAGGGGATGCAGTGGATGTGGTATACCTGGATTTCAGCAAGGCCTTTGACAAAGTGCCCCATGATATCCTGGTTGAGAAACTGAGGAGCAGGTACTCCAGATCCAAAAGGATTTGGACAGACTATGGAAGTGGGCAGGAAACAGGAAGTGGGCAGGAAACAACATGATGACGTTCAACATGGATTATGGCCCCTTTTGGGCAGGTACTTTGGCAATGGGAGAATTTGGGTCTGTGGAGTCCCTTCTGACTGCAGCAGAGGTGAAACCTTTTAGGCAGGAACTACAAGCTATTTTTGTTTGTCTGTCTGCTTGCTTGCATTTTGTTTTCTGGTGAAGAATTGAGTTTGATCTAACAGGCAGCTAGAGATGTTTGGAATAGAGAAAATCTCAACAGAGCAGGAGCTGCTCTGTGCTGGCTTCTAGAAGGGAGAGTTGGGAGTTATTAGAGTTATATGATCCAGGGAATCAAAGAGGCAGTACCTCAGTCCCTTAATGTACATAAGACTTTGTCTTTGGAATAAAAGAAATATGATACTCCATCTGAGTGGCTGGAGAGACTGAAGCAACAGATGCAAAAATAAAAAATTGGGCAACAGGATCCAGGAATCCAGCCCATCAGATAGATATTGCTGAAGTGTTTGCAGGGAAGGCAGGGGAGGATATTAGGTAGAACAGAAGTTGCAGAAGTTAGATGGAAGAGAGGCAAGGACGTTGGAAGATTTGTTGAGAGAGGAACAGAAAGTGTATGCAATGAGAGAGGATGAGGAGAAATTGAGTTTATGGCTCAGAGAATGGAATGCAATGGCATTAGAGGAAAGGTAGAAGATGAGGTCGAGGAAGAGGATTTCAGCCCGCACCTAAAGAGGGGCAAATGAGTGAAGGATTATGTGCAGGATGCTATTAATGTGGAAAGGTTGGGCACTTTAAATGAGAGTGCCCTGAGTGAGCTGAAGGGAGAGGAGAGGTTAATTTCTCTCATGAAGATGAACAATCATTAGGAAGGTCAGGGGTCTCCTCATAGGAGGACCCACTGGGAACCTTTGATAAATTTGGAAGTGGAACCATTTGGGAAAGACATGGTATTTATGGTAGGCTCTGGAGCTACCTGCTCCACAATGAATATGATTCCAGATGGAATGCAATTGGGAAAAAGGAGAATTGATGGCTCAAGGAGTGGGAGGTAATCTGGTAAAAGTGAAAACATTTGAACCTACTCAGGTAAAACATGAACATGGTGAAACCGTTGTGTGATTTTGTACTGGGGAAGCAAATTTGTAACTTGGCAGGGAGAGATCTCCTAGCCGGACTGGGATTTTTGGTAAAAGGTGTTGGAGGGGAGGTAGAGACGAAGCTAATAAGGAGGACCAATTCTGATTTATCTCTAAATCAGAGATAGATCAGAGCTGGTGCTTGGGAGGCCTGGAAGGAAAATTGAACACGTTGTGAAAAAAAAATGGGAGGGGGGAGGCATGATGCCTCTCCCTGCAGGAATTCATTAAATTGGACTCGAAAGTGAGCAGGCCATAACTTAACAGGAAAAAAAGGGCAGGACAGGTTTTGTCTGGGGTTGCATTTATCTTTTTGTGTGTGTTTAACAACTATTTGCTACCTCTGGGTTGTATAATTAAAAGAATCAGAATCCTAGTTTTTCCAGAGGATTCTGAAAAGGTGATAAGTTTGTTTCAAAGCACTAATTGGACTAATGCCAGAAGGGCAGAATATATTCGAATAAAACAAAACTCCAGGAACTAGGTTTCAGGTTCAATATTAAAAGATATTCTCTGAGGGTCAGGAACCCCCAGAAAATGGGATGGGTTTCATGGGAGGTGGTTGAGGTCCATCAGTGAAGAAGTTTGGACAACCACTTGTTGTGGATTATAGGAAGAGAGTTGGCGGAGATGGGGTCAGACTAGATGACCAGGGGAGGACTCCTTTCTGACTCACTTTGTTTCTATGTGGGAGAGGACCATCTCTGTAATAAGAAATTGTGAAAAACTGTGTTCTCATTGACAAGTCCATCCGAAAGCACATTTTTCTTCAGGTTAGGTAAGCAATACATTTGTGCAACACAAGTTCAGCAAAGGGTTTCTTTGTGTACATTTTAGCATTGACTGGATTGGTGTCAACAACCAAAAACATTTTTTTCCTGAGGCTGTGCTGAAGAGACTTAAAAAAAAAAAGACATAGACATTACATCTTGAGGTTTCTCTCCAAACTGATGTGGATCTCTCTGCCACTGCCTACAACTTCTCTACAGCCCTGGAAGGAAAAGCCAGCTGTGTCTAACCACCCTTGCTCAGGGAAGAAGGGAATTCACCCACCTTTCTCTCAGACATTGGTTAGGGACTTGCCTAGATGGACCAGAGACTTTAATGCTGTTCTTACTACAGTATATGAACCACCTTTTAATTGCCACTGAAGTCACAGACTTCACATCTGCTGGATTTCATTGGGTCACCACACATAAGATGCAAACCACACAAAAATGACTAGCTGGCCAGTACTACTCCTTCTCCGAGCCCAGAGTGGCCATGCTGGCTGTCCAGCAAGGTCAAAGCAGTCATGCCTATTTGACTGACTGACTGCAGTGTGTGAAGCTGTGGCCACTAGCTGGTTGCTGCCTATGGCTTGCCATGGCACAAGGGAAGGGGGACTGTTGCTTACGTCAGCCGGCTCACCTGAGACCGGACTGCCTGAAGACCATTGATGCCGAGGGAGGACCACGCCTAGGTGCCCCTCGTTACACAGCAGTGAGATCGGTGGGACTGCCTACATGGGAATGTTGCACCAGGCTGAGGAAAGTTCCAAAAACCACAAGGAGACAGAAGGACCATGGAGCCTGTGGAGAACCTGAAGTTCTTGTTCAAACACCAACCCTGCAAGGGAGGACCAGTGGCGTAACAGACCAGGACAAGAAGCAGCTGACATCAGGGTCAGCCAAGGGCTCATAACTGGAGGGGGCAACAAAGAAGAGCCCCAAAGAAATGCAGCCTATCAGGGACTAGGATCGGGTTCTGGCTTGAAGACTTAGACCAAGAGACTAGCATTTGCCTAATGCTAAGTAGCCTAGATGATAATGCTGAAGGAAAAAGGGGGAGTTTCTTGAAGTTATTATTTTGGCTGTCTCTCTGTACTACTGTTAATTTTGTTACTCCCTTCTATACCATTTGTCCTTGTAGGAAGGAAACAGTGGATTTCCTAATTTCTCTGTTTTCCCTGCCTCGTTGTGTAATAGAATGTTTATGCTTTAGTAGCACTGATGAAAACCCAGCATGGATTTCTTACACCTGGAACATGTTATATGTCTGGATTCACACCAAGGACCAGGTAAAACAGACATGCAGGTTACAGGAGGGCAGGCACATGCTGTCCCAGATCAGCTAAAGGAAAAGGAAAGAAATCATATGTGTTCCACAGGTCCCTAGGGAAAACAAGTTCCATGTGAAGCCACTACAGGTAAGGACCACTGAAAGCACTCTACCAGTTGGGGTGATGATGGTGGACTAGCAACATCCTTACAGCCAATTGGCACATGCTGGAATAGGTTCCCTGTGTGTGTGAGAGAGAGAATTTGGTGCAGTAGCTAGCATGCAGTTTTGTTTCTGCTAAACTGGAAAGGCCGTAGCCTGCAGTTGAATGGGCAGCCACATGTGGATACTGACTGCTATGCATTATTCACACGAATGGGGCTAGTAAGTGCTACTTGGTACAGCTTGGAATCTTTGGAGGGCTGTTCCGAGATTGGAAACGAGTTCTGTTTATGCTGATGTGTGCCTTTGGTGGGCTTATGCTCCTTCCTTGCTTAATTCCCATAATTCAGTCTATAGTAACTTGCACCATTGAAGGTATGATGGTGGTCACAACCAACCCAAAGAAACCTGATGCCCTGGCAAAAACCCTGGCACTCAGATCTGTCCCAAGGGAATGTTCTTCCTTGCTTCAATGACAACCCATGGAGGCCACCTCCAGGGTTGCATATATGAAAAGGGAGGAAATGAAGGAGCCTGATTAGCTTAACTAATGTTATTTAGTTCTAGCTTAACTAACGCTATTTGCTTTTGTAAAAAGCTGCTTGCTTGAAAGCTTGGTTAGCTCAGTTAACGCCATTTGCTTTCTGTATAACTGCTTGCTTTGGAGAAGAAAAAGGGTAGGCAAAAGAATGTTAGGCAAAAGAATGTTGATAAGGTAAGATAAGGGTATTGTGAAGAAGACGACTCCCTACGCAAGGCCTGGCACGCTGTGATCACACTCGGTCTGTGAAGGGATTGGATGGAGCGATCCTCTTCCACGAGGACAGGCATGCAGTGGACATGCAGACCCCGTAAGGGGATTGGGCAAAGGGTCAGGCAGACCCTGGGAGGTGACTGGATGAGGGAACAATGGGGGTGAGATTGTGTGAGAAACAGTAAGGAAGAAAGAAGCTATAAGAAGGATGAGTTGATGGAATGTGTTGTGTTGTTGCTTCCTGCCTGTGTACTGGGAAGCTGACACCTGGTTGCCCTTCTCAGCTGAATAAAGGAACCAAATGAATCTCCGCCTTGCTGAACCTTATTGGCATTTGGTTTAGGGATCTGTAAGTCACCTGGCTAGCAGGGACATCAACAAAGGCTTAGATCCATTGATATAATTATATTAATAGATCTTAGTCCACAGGCAGATCAATGTAATCTCAAATATGCCTGTATTTTCCCATGTGGATCTTAAAGACTAAATTGGTTGATGTGTCACAAGCTTGTAAATGAACTTTAATGAGCTAAACCAAAACCACACTTTAACTATCTCAGGTACAGCTGAACTAAAACAACATGTAATGCTATGTTCCCTACTGACATTTTAAATGTTAACATTAGGGGAAACAAGATTGAGATAGTGAGGTTTGGTGAGAATAAAGCAGTCATCGCTAGGATGGAAAATAGCATAAATATTATGAAAGCAAGAATGGAGATAAAATTTAAACTAGTTTAAGTGACTCACGAATCACAGCTTAAATGTAAAGAATAATCATGCTAGCACAAATCTATAACCTGTAATTCATACTGTGAAGCACACTCAGTTCATTATAGTAAGACAATTCGCTGTTTAGAGGAGCTTTTAAGCAAAATTAATTTGATGGATAAAGCAGCTACAAAAAATGAGGTCACTTCAAAATAGAACTGCAAAATAGGGAGAAGCAGTTCTCTCTTCACTGTTACACACAGAACACAGGTATCTCGAAAATAGGTATCACTGCCATTTTAGGCAAACAAATTATTTCATCCACACATGAGAAATTTGTAAAGCAATACTAGTTCCAGATTTCTCCAACCATAAACCCAAGGAAATTTAGTTAAAAAAATATAACCAACTATTTACATAAATGATTCTGTTATTTTTGGCTGACACCAGGAACACAGAATCTATTACAGCCATGCTATTTTGACTGTAGTGACTTTAACTCTGAACTTTTCACCATAACAACACAGTACAAGAAAATGGCTTCTTCATTCAGTATTAATGGCACTATGTTTTCACACAACATTTAAGAGCACTTCAAGCTTATACTAGTGCACATGTGAACATTGGTAATGTAGGATTAACTACTAGAAACCCAGTTTTGATTTGTATTCCTACTCCTACTAACAGTTGAATTGCAGTTACGAGAAATGAAAGCAAAAACACCACAGCAATGTGCCCTAGAACTTCACAGAATAAGAAACTGGTAATATAGAGATATTGTTGTTGGTATAGCAATCCTTATTAACAACATACAGCATTACCCTTAGTGCACAGAACCACAATCTGTCACATAATAGTTAATTTTATATGTTGATACGTGTTTCAATCTGCATTTAATTTTACATTGACTTATTCATTTTGTTTCATTTTGCTTGCATTTTTCATTTACTGGCTATAGAACCCAAATTCTTCATCAACATTCCAAAATATTTCAAATTATTTTCTATTTTTTCTAAGAATTGTTTCCTAACCTTTACAGCCCAGATAGAAGTAAGTTTTTATTCATATGCAACTCCTGTTGGTTTCAATGGGGCTTTTAAAAAAAATCTTGCTTAGGCTTTTTTTTTTAATAAATGTATTCCCAAGTACTGTAGTTAATGTTAACTGTTCCTTATTACTATTAACCAGTTATTTATAAGGAAAGTGTATCTTATTGTTGGCTGCCTTATTTTAAATATATTAGAATTGCAATTCAAACTAGCACTTAGTTCCCAAGTACAGGCATAATCTTGAGAAACAGTTACAAATAACAAACAGTTGTCATAATTCATTGCTCCTAATTTACAAAAGTGAATTTCCCCACAAAGAGTTTTGCTTATAAAAAGGATGGCTTTTTCTTTTTTGTGAATCATAGTCTCCCTACAGTATGTACAGATCACTTCCAAACTTAGAAGTACCTGTATACAGAGGAGTGTGGGTGTTATCAGAATCTCACAAAGCTTGGAAACACACAAAGCTTGGAAACATGATTCTTGTTTATAGATAACCAAATATTTTATCTTCTATATCTAATATCAAGCAAAGACAAGGAGTTCCATATAGAAAAGAAAATTAAATCGTAATGAAGGCTTTATAATAAAGAGAGCTAATAGTGATTGTACAGTTTATATTCACTACAAAATAGCAGTGGTTAAGTCTATTGTCCCTGTTGTTTGACCAGGATTGCTATACCAACAACAATATATATGATTAAACAGCAATTACACTACATCAATAAGAAAATTGTGTTTGTCATGTAGCCAAATACTTGAGTAATCTGACTTCTCAACTCCAGAAAAGCTCAGAACCTCAATCTTTGTGCTGTGTTCTATCAATTCAATGATATGGGGTTGTTCACATGTAACACAAATGGTTACTCTGCAGTAATCATTCTTACCTTGTATCCTGTGTCCACACTTTCGTGAACTACTCATAAGTAATCTCCACACACCTCCATCTTCCCCCCAAATGGCGATATGCATTCCATCAGCCCTCATGGCTGGGAACCGATCCCAGTGTGCACCGCTCCTGCCTGCATCATCTGTCTTTCCCCCAGTGGTCCACCTGCTCCTCTGGGTGCATTCTCAGCCGGCCTTCACTCCCCCCGACCCCCACAAAGCCCTACTCATTTAAAAAAAAACCCATGGTCACTGCTCCCTGTCCTGCATCCTGGCGTACATTCCCTGATGCCCAGCTGCACCACCGCCACATGGCCAGTTGCCCACCTCACACATGTGCCATTCTGCCCCCTTCCCATTTACTGTCATGCCAGCCTCATGAGACACATGCACATGAGGTAGATGCCAGCCTTGCAAAACACACACATGCCTCCTCAGGCTGCCATGACAGCAAGTGGTAAGGGGGCTGAGTGGCATGTAAGACTGATGATCAGTCAGGCAACGCACAAGATGGACAGTCAGCCAGCTAGCATGCATGGTGCTGGCAAGGCAGCCAGGCACTGAGTAGTGTGTGCTGGGAGAGAGGAAAGGGAATGCAGCGGCAGCCCATCAGTGCCCTGTCTGCTGGCAACTCAGCTGTTGCGAGGGGAACAGGACAGTGGAAAATGGTGGCTGGAGTTGCCACTGTAGCTGCTCTTGCCACCATACTTGCTGGAAGGGGAAACCACAGGAAAATATTATGACTGGCTTCACACATATGCTGAAATGTGGAAAACGTATTTAAAATGGTTGGTTCTCCACAGTGTTTCACAGTAACCAAATGTGCCATGTTTCACCATGCTTCTGATATCCACACATAACATTTCTGTTATGTTTTGCGGCAACAAGTCCACACAGATACAGAGTCTATATGTGTAATGCACAAAAAGCACAAAGAAGAACAAGCCATTCCTGCCATGGCTTGCCATTCTGTGGGAATATAGTCATAGCGTATATACTACACATTGCTACATATGTTGCAAGACTATATGGAGGCCTGTTTCATACTCTGAACACTGTTTATAGGAAGCTCTAATGGGTTAAAAGATACTTTCATCCACAATACATTCAGAATTAGCGCAGCTATACAACAAACGTCTGGCACATATTGATAGTATAAAAATGAAATGTTAAATGTAGAGCTGCCTTTGAGGATTTCTCAAAAATTCAATTAGTTCAGCACACAGCCTCAGACAGGTCACTTTAGAAATGGCTTCACTGGATCCTGGTCTGTTTCCAAGATCAAGATTGCTAGTATATAATTTGAAAGGTTATTTACAATTTAGGTCCTGGGTACTAGAAAAACCACCTTTTTCCATACATACTTGCCCAAGCAGCCAGATATTAACCAAAATCCTTCCTGCAAATGTCCCACTCTTTAGAATAAGGTGGATGGTAACCATGTGAAGGGTCTTCTCAGCTGTCACTAATCATGGAATGTGGCACTTACCTGTGTGTTTTTGGTGTCAAAAACATTTGTATTTTCTCAGGTCTTTTAAAACAATTTAGGTTGCTTTACCCAGTGTTCTGATGTTGCTTTTTATTTTGATGCTGCTAGTCTTTTTATTTTGTCTTACGTATGCGTTTAAATTTACAGTAATAGCTATCTCGTTTGTTTTTAAATACTGAAGATGCAAGTTAGAAGTGATGTAAATTTAAAATCATACATAAGACAACAAAGAGCAAATGAAAACATGCCAGAAGGATGCTGGATCCTTTGGCTGTCCCATCAATCTTTTTCTCATATGTTGTACTAATTTTCTCTAACTTAAAAAAAAGCAGAAGTCATGAAGTTGCATCAGAGAGAGATGGGATGCAAAGATTGTTCAATTCACTCACCTGAGATACAACTCCAGTTAGCTTTTCCTTTCTCGGAACATGTTTATTCCAGTTGATTGTTATAAGAATGTGTTACCTGTTTTCCTCTTTACTCATCATTACTTTTGTCCGTGCATGCGTGTTTTGAGATTGTGGGTCTGAACACAGGATCAATCTTGTTACTGATCTCATGTAAGTCACAGTCAAAGCATTTTTAGCTCAAAAGAGCAGCAATAAAAATAAAATTAGGTATAAGCTGGGGACATTCCAAATATTTTGAAATAAGTTCTACAGAGTGAATATTAAAATAAGAAGGAATAAACTGCTAGAAAGTTAGCAAAATCTGTTTTTGTGAATTAAGTTGCCTTCAGTTCTTGTTTCTAAAAGTTAATATTTATAACCAATTGACATATGGCACCAGTCTTCTCCTGCCATAATAGTATAGGCACTTGACCCTAGTAAACCTAAATCGCATGTTCCACAAATGTGCAAGTACTACTTGTTCCTAGCTGGGGTGTTTTGCAACTGTTCTGACTAATCTGGCAGCACTGTAGCATCCAACTGACATGCACACCTTACCTGTGTTGTGGCAAGTAGAAGAGTTACTCTATTGTCACAGTATGCTTGTTCTATGGATTATGCCTATTCTATGAGAATTCACTGAACTGAGCTGTCCTAAAAGAAACATGACTTTTTGATGCTGATTCTAGTGAGCTGAAGACTTGGGTTTTCTTTTATATTGATTTTAAACCCAGCTCTCTCTTGTATGAATTTGAAGATGCACTGTGTTCTCTGAGGAAA